TGTGTGTGTCATGAGATTTAGGCCCATGCATGTGTTGACAGAAGAACCACACTAGCGTACAGCCATTCATTACTATAGGTGGTTGCATGCTGCAGTTGTGTCTCCCGGGTGCAAAAATATATTTTGTTACTCATGTGCTCATGTGTATAAGTCCTTAAAGACATACACCATCTTTCTGACAATGTTTCATGTTACACCCATGCAGAGCCATACAAAGCAGTGTGCAGTAGCTGACGGGAGAGATTTGTATTGTTTACATACAGGTCTCTCCCCTGTCGGAAATCCTCAGCGATTGCAGCTGAGGCCACGAATGGTGCGTACCCCCTACCCGGAGCTGCAAAATCACGTATATATACGTGATTTTTCCACCCATGGCCCTGTAGCAGTGTTTCTGCTGTAGGGCAGCACCGAAGCAACTAAATATGTTCCCATTCCGTATCCTTTTCACATGCTTCCCTTGCAGCATCCTGGTTGTTTTTTTATTTAGTGTGGCTCTGCCAAGAAAGCTGCATAATCCATTCACAGGGATCTGTGAAGGGGAACACTAAAGATCACTCCGCCACAATTGCAGTGACCTCATCGCACTTGTAGTCCGTTTTTTTACAATCTCCAGCCCCATAACAGAAAGTTCTTACCTCTGTCAGGGTCTGTGGGTAAACAATGCAGGGGCCTGTGCATGTGCCTGTGGTGCACTGATTGCTGTTGCAATGCTCTACAGGCTTGAATGCAAAAATGCAATAAATACGGATTTATTTATCTTATTACAGTGTTACAAAACCCACAACAGTAAAATCAGTCTGTATATGCAGTAAAGCATGCCTGTTACATTCACTGTGGAACATAAGGGGTTAATCCTCTGCATTGTGTAAAAAGGCCATTTGATCCTAACTTCTCTGCTCCTCCTCTTGTTCAAACATCCACGTCTTATCTCCTGATAAGACAGACTGAACCATAGCCATTCTGCACATGCTCAGTTTAGTGTGTATTGCTAGAGAGGTCTTTTTTTTTTTCTTGGGAGAGAGCATGTGATAATCACAGGGCCAATCAGCACTGTCCAGACAGAGGTCAGGGGTTTTGCATCTGCCTAGAGCAGAAAGAAAACTCCTCCTACAAGCTTTAAAAGTGCTCTGCTGGACACTGATAAAAGCCACAAGACTGCTCTATCTGCTGATGAGAAAAGGTATTTAGCAGTTTATATTTACTAAAATAATTGCAATTCCATGTTCTGTGTACTGTAGGAGACCAGACATAGTGCATGCAGGGTCCTGGGTTTAGTAACACTTTAAAGTGGGTACATTTAATACGTTTGCAAATTGTGGACAAAGCCTTTAACAAAGTGGGAACACCTCTAGGTATCTGAGCTATATATCTGTCAGCAGTTTTTTTGTTGTTAAGCTGACCCTGTTGAAAAAAGAAAATTGCCCAAAAAGCTGCCCCTGTAAAGGAATATAATAAATTGATTATCTACCAACACTTCCAGGGTTTTTGATCTCTTGATCCCTCACTGTGCTCAGTGGTTCCTGCCACCGACCTCCATCTCACTACTGTATACAATGGTTACATGGAGGTCGGTGGGAGGTACCACTGAGTTCATTGGTAGACAAAGCAATCAACACTCCTGGAAGTGCCAGATTCTGAACAGATTTTGGCGGATGATTTCTCTTCAACAGAGCACAGTTTGGGATCCATGACAGTGAGGGAGGTGAAACTGGGGACTGGGGTGCACTACATTTGAGCTTGAATTTGCATACACTCCAGACTCTGCTGTACGATCCTGCCGGTCAGAGCCAGTCAGGATTTCATTGCATGCCCCACAATTTAAGTCTTCTGTTTCACACTGGCCCAGGACCAAGGTCAGAGACACTGAGGTGCAGGAGTGGGTCATTCAGTCACCACAGTTCTGCGTGCAGCTTGGGTTGGGGAACAAGTGGACCCTGCCACTCTTCTTCCAGCTGAAAAAAGAGATACAACGAAGGGTAGTAGTTGATTGGTGCCCGGACTACCCCTACATCCCCAAGTACATTATGGATCTAGTGGAAGAGTCCCAGACACAATGGGAGGAGAACTTGATCTGGGACCACATGCACATCCCCAGACACCTGAGAGGGCCTTATTTAGAAGGAGCCTGGGTCTGCTTCCAAGACATCAAGAAAGAGTGGAGTAAGGTTGTGAAAGAAGGGCAGCCAAGCCGTAGCTATTCTTTGGCCACCCGGAGACCCGATGGCTCCATAGTCCGACAACCCAGCATTATTGAGACTCTGGTCCAGTGGATGTGCATATATATATGGATAATGATGGACTCTTCATATTTTTTTCTCCCAGATAAGCTTGTCTGGTTTTTTTTGCCTTTCAGAGAGACTAAAGGCATTCACTTTGTTTGCTTTGGAGGAGCTCCTCCTTAACAAGGACTTAAAAAAAGGGAAAAAAAAGAACCCAAACAAATAGTTCATTGCTATTGTGCCTTATCACCTATATAGACAGTCAGAAATAGGACTGTGCTATTTGCAATTGGTTATGTTGGTGTGTTGTTCTCTTTACTGTTGTGCAGGTTATGGGATGGCTGTCTTCCTTGCATTTGAAGAACAAAGAATATATTTTGTGATGAAGGGCCTCCTTCTAGAGGGAGGTGCGTCATCCCTATGTTAACACTGGTTGGTTTGCCCATTTTGATCATGGTACTTTATTCATTGTCCTGCTGCTAGAGAGTTAGCGTCAGTCAGGAAATGTAAATATGTAATTGATGTAAAAATGTTTTTATTTTTGTACGGATTATTTATTTATATTTTGTGTACATATTTCTTTCCCCTTCCCAGTTATTGTACGCTTTTCCCTTCCCATTTTTTCATATAGAATGCCCTGCTCCTGTGCTCAGGAGCCTTTTTGTGTTTTTTTTTCCTGCCCCCAGCCAATGAGGACATGGCTGTTTTTAGTGGGGGGTGAGTGTAGCACCCTCCTAGTTTAGCTAGAGGGAGCTAGACCCGAATTGTTAGTGAGGAGCCGGTTAGCAGCTCAGGTGAGATAGCTAGAGGGGTCAAATTCTGGTCAGGATTGACAGACTCTGCAGGCCAGCCCCTCTGGAATTTCCCCCTGATCTGAGGCTTTCGGAGGTGGGCCTTGGAGGCAGCTGGTGGATCTGAGGAGTGACTGGCTACAATATTGAAGGACCTCAGCCAATCCCCAACAGGAAGCTTGGCAAGGGGGCTGGGACTCCCTTAAAAGTGGAAGAGCCTGCTCAGTAGCAGGAGTGGAGTGTGGTGGTAGCAGAGTAGTGTGAGGCTGGAGGAAGAAGGCTGCCAGAAGGCCTAGTGAGTTGGGGCCTGCCTGCAAGCCTGGAGTTGGAAAGGAGGAAAACTCGGGACTCACTGGCCCCCTGAGAGAGGACCACCTGTATGACAGGGAAGGAGCAGCCCAGCTGATAGGCCTGGTAGCAGCAGCCATTCTGAAAGCAGTATAGGAGAGGATCTGAGTGAGTACACCTACACCCCCTGGGCAGATAGGGGAAGGAGAACTCTGGTGGGAAACCAGATTAGCCCGCTGCTAGTGACTGTTACTCATTTAACCATTAGCCGCCCGGCCAATAGCCGTTTGGCGGCCGGAAAAATGCTTTAGATTTCCGGGTGAATGCCATATGGCGTACTCTCGGGCATGTGCAGTTTGTGCGCTTGCAGAGCTGCGCAGCGGTGTGATCTGTCACCGGCCGTGTACCTCGGATGTGGCCGATGACAGATCTGAGTACCGGCCCCCGTTGCCGGTACCATGTGACCTGCTGTGACCAATCACAGCAGGTCACATGACAGTTGTATACAATGGATGGCTTCATTCATGCCATCCATTGTATACTAGTGTCTAGCTGTGAATGGTCACAGCGATCACATGCACATGTCATGTGATTAGCTGTGGCCAAAACACTATGGTAACATTGTACTACTTTGGACATAGTGAAATATGAAAAAAAAAATCTTAAAATAGTGAAAAAAAAAGTAATAAAAAATTAAAAATAATAATAATAAAAAAAAAAAATATATATATTTTTTTTTTCCATACTGTCACCAGTCAGTGTCCCTGATCACCGCCATGCCAGTTATATGATGACGCTGTACTGCACTGGTGACAGTAAGTAAAAAAAAATAGTGAAAATAATTTTTTAAATTTTTTCATTTTCTGAAAAATTATGACAAAACAAATACAACTTCAAAAAACTCGCCATGCCTCTTATGAAGTACGTTTGTGAACTCTATAACTTTCCTACAAACTAAAAAATACATCCTAATTTGGGTTATTTTCACCAAAGACATGTAGCAGAATACATCTTGGTCTAAATTTATGAAGAACAATTATTTATTTGTAAACTTTTATAACAGAAACAAAGAAAAACGTGTTTTTTTTTTTTTCAAAATTTTCGGTCTTTTTTTGTTAATTTAGCAAAAATTAAAAACCCCGGCAATGATTAAATACCACCAAAAGAAAGCTCTAGTTGTGTGAAGAAAATAATAAAATTTTAGTTTGGGTACAATGTTGTATGACCGCGCAATTGTCATTCAAAGTGTGAGAGCGCTGAAACCTGAAAAATGGCCTGGGCAGGAAGGGGGTCAAAAGTGCCCGGTATGGAAGTGGTTAATTACTAGCCTACAGGACACTTATACCCCCTTCCTGCCCAGGCCAATTTCCAGCTTTCAGCGCTGTTGCATTTTGAATGACAATTGCGCAGTCATGCAACACTGCGCCCATATGAAATTTTAGTTATTTTTTTTTGTGACAGATAGAGCTTTATTTTGGTGGTATTTAATCACCTCTGGGTTTTTTTTTTCTTAAATAAACCAAAAACCACACAATTTTGAAAAAAAATGTTTTTTCTTAGTTTTTGTTATAAAATGTTGTAAATAAGTGACTTTTCGCCTTCACTGATGTGCACTAATGAGGCTGCACTGATGGGCACTGATAGGCTGTACTGATGGACACTGATAGGTGGCACTGATGGGCACTGATGAGGAGGCACTGGTAGGTGGCCCTGATGGGCATTGACAGGCATCACTGATGGGCACTGAAAGGCAGCACTCATATATGGCACTGATAGGCGGCACTGACTGCCACTGATAGGCGGCACTGACTGGCACTGTTAGATGGCACTGACTGGCACTGATAGGCAGCACAGACTGGCACTGATAGGCGGCACTGATGCACACTGATAGGCGGCACTGACTGGCACTGATAGGCGGCACTGACTGGCAATGATAGGTGGCACTGATTGGCAGCACTGATAGGTGGCACTGACTGGCATTGATAGGTGGCACTGATAGGTGACACTGAAAGGCAGCTCAGATGGGCACTGATATGTGGCATTGATGTGGCACTGATGGGCACTGAAATGTGGCACTGATGGGCACTGGCAGGTGGCATTGATGAACACTGAGAGCTGGCACTGATGGACACTGACATGTGGTGCTGCTGCGGCTACACAGATCATCAGGGCACACTGATCATCAGTGCCCTGATGATCAGTGTAGATGTCCCCTCCTCTCCTCACGAGTTGTCAGTGTGACAGCTTGTGGCATTTCCCTGTTTACATGTGATCAGCTGTGACTGGACACAGCTGATCACATAACCGAGCCAACATCTTCAGCTCTTTCAACAACGCACCGCCGATCGCCGTGCTGGGTGCTCCGGGAGCTACTCATGCATGGTTAGAATGGGAGGACATCATGTGACGTCCTCCCAGAACGAAAGAACCACCTTGCATCCATCATATTACTATATGGCGGGCGGCAGGCAGTTAAAGGAACATGAGCCAGATCCCCTGCTCTGGAAGAAAGTCTCCAGATTGCTGGGTGGAGAGGAGTTCATCTAGGGTCTGGGGTAGTACAATTGGAGCTGTGAGCTAGCACTCCAACAGAGACTGTGACAGAGAAGGAAAAGCTGTGAATAGTTTGGGAAATTGTCCTCAGATTTCGGTTCCCTTGGGCATCCTATACACCCCTTACCCTATCCAAGTGCTAATCTCCTCAATAAAATAACAAAACCAATGCTCAAGTCCTAATTTCTGTCAACAAATGAAAGCTTGTGTGGAAAATGCTAACTGACTGGCTGTGCAGGACTACAGGGGGACAAAAATTCATGAGCAATCCTTAAGGGGATAGTGCTACAAGTGTATAAAGTAAAAAGATTAAAAAATGAAAGTGACATACTAATTAAACAAAAAGCACAAAAACTTTGAAAGCACCCCCTCCTCTCAATTGTACACGCACTTACAAAATGAACATGTACCGGCTGACAAGAGCAATAATTGTAGTGCCATCATTCGCTGCTAAATTTATAAGCTGAAAAGGCTTTTAATGTGTCACCTATGGACAATTTTGGGTATTTTCATATTTCCCCTTTTCACAAGTGCGCCCAGGTTTATATTTACCCCGCTGTCTCTAAGCATAGAGCAGTGACTGTCGGTCACCGATGTCTGCTTTGCCCCCCCCACGCTTGCTGGAGTGCTGGGCTGTGAAGGGGGAGGGAGTGGCTGGCTCAGGCTCTCAGCGGATCACTGTGAGACTGAGCCAGGTACTGCTCCAGACTCCGGGGTGGATCTCGACTTTAAAATCCCTTTCCCTAGGCTGGAACAGCTGAGCGACATCAGCTGCCAGCAGGCTGAGGCCCGCTGTCAGCTGAAAACGGATCACAGGAGTACAGAATGAAGTGCACTCCTGTGATCCACAGAAGTACAGCCAAAAGAGCTTTGGCTGTACTTCACCTTTAAGGCTTTGACATGTTTAGTATCCATTCAACTCAACCCCATCTTTATATTTTACTAAAAAATAGGTATTGTTTTGTGTTTTGTGTGCACTAAAACCCATCTGTTTCTATTCCTAACAATATCAACATCAACATTTGTGAAAATATCATGCAACATAAAATATTGCAATTACCTATATTTGATTGACAGGGCCTTTATTTTCATACAATATATAATTGTTTGGGTTTCTGTAAGTAATTTGTTAGCAAAAAAGTCTGATTTCAACATGTGTGTGCAAAATGAAAAAAATCTAATTCCAAAATAGTTAAGACAAAATGGGAAAAACCACGGCATTATTCTGGGTGTCATCTAATTGTATATTCGTTGCCTCTTTGCTTCAGAGGATGAGAAACCCAGTAATAGTTTATATTTAGATATGTTACCTGCTCTTCTATTAGACGTTTTTGTCTAAGTTCCTCTTTTCATAGATAAGAAAGTAATATCCTCATTCTATGCTGATATTTGCAAATGTTGAGGTTGTGTAGTGGGAGGCTTTTCTCTTTTGGATCTTACTTTAGTTGACATCTGTGGTGGTTCTGATACTACTGGTGCAGGCAGTGCCCGGACAAGGTTATCTAGCACCCAGGATGAAGATACCAAACTACACTCCCCCAAAGATGTATGAGCATTATATTTCGGCAAAAATCAGCGCCCCCACCCAAAAAAAAATCAAGCACTAATCTGCACGATAACCCCTAAGCATATATTTTCCTTCCAAGCCAAAATTCTGCCTAAACAAAAATTCCTCCTGCTTCCAAACCCCCCCCCCCCTTCTGAAATCCCCCCTCTCAGCACAAATCTTTGACCCCCAGGGTTTCCTTACCCGACCCCATCTCCTCTTTGCTAGGTGGAGATAGAGCAGATAAGGAAACCCTACGCAGTCCCAATCTCCAATCTGACAGTTCCCAATGCAGAAGCGCTGCAGTGGGAGGAGGAGAGGCTGGAAGAGAGAGAGAAAGCACAGCCCACACCTCCTCCCAGGCCTCCTTTGCTCTCCTGATTCTACTTGCCACTTTCCACACTAAGCTGACAGGAGTAGTGATGCTGCTGTCACTACTCCTGTCAACTTGTGGCAGTAGGAACTTTTTAAGTGGTGCCCCCCTCACCTTACATAATACCACAGTGCCCAGGGCAGCTGGCCTTCCTGCCCCCCCCCCCCCCCTGCCCCAGCCCTGAGCAGGAATAGGTGCCTTCCTTTGAAGCTCTCTACTGCACACTAAACAATTAGCCAGGATTGCAGCAATCCATACTTCTTCTACAGTTGGATCATAGCGGATGTTTGGATATGCTAGAAAATCTGTAAAACTAACCACATTCACAGCACTGGTTGTAAGTTACACAAACACAACAAGAATGTCACTAGTAGTGCTTGAAATGGTGGATGTACTAATGTTGGCGTTCTGCAGTGATACATCTTCACAAGTAATAGGCACAAGTGTGTAAAAACATACTTATTTAGTGTCACAGAGCTAGTCCCTCCCACCCCCTGGTTCCTGCTTGCCACCCCCAGCATCCCCTCACTCTGCTTTTCTGAGGAGGCATCCTGCTCCCCTGGCTGAGTGCCAGCAAGTCTGTTCCCCTGCTGTGCCTGCATGGGGATTCACCACATGCAGGCTCCCCTCCTGTCACCCCCTCTCTGTCTTCATGGGCACGGCGTGACCCTGCTCTCCCGTGCTCCCTGCCTGCCAGAGACAAAGGCCATGCTCCCTGTGCAGGGCCGGCGTTGAGGGGGACGGGGCCCATTGCCACGCCAAGTCTCGGGTTATCACAGCAAGGAGAACGCGCTTGGCTACACATATAATGCCGAAGCGGGCCCCCAGTGATTGGATTAACCCCCCCCGCTACATGAGAAGAACACATGTGAGGGTGTAAGGGAAACCCAGGTGCTAAGCACCCAAAGGGAAGGCAGAGCACACACAGTGGTTGAAATACAAAGTTATATTGTCAAACATCCCAGAAAGAGTAATAGAGTATTTCCAACAGTATAGAGTTAGCGGCAACACTCACAGCAATATGCGGGAGTTGCAGATGGAGGAGGCAATGCATAGAGGCTGGCTGCGCCTGGCGCACACAGCAATGGAGAGGCAGTTCTGTAAGCAAACGTAGCGGAAAAGTTCCACAAAGAGTTCTGTCAACAGTCCCTATGCTGTCCTTCCTCCTCTGAAACATTTCCCTGACAGGCGGGTTTGTGTTCCCAACCTAGCCACTGCATTCTGCAATGAGTCAGGGCTTTTTGTAAGTTCTGCCCTCAGTAAAGATGGCGTCAAAGGTCACCCGGGTAGCACCCGGGTGGCACCCACCCAATGACATGTACAAAGGCCTCAGAGGAAAGGGCATTCCTCCTATCCTCTACTCTCCCTCCAAGGTGGTTGCAAAATTGTCACCTGTGTAGGGAGGAAAACCTGCACCAGCCTACAAGAAGGGTTTTCCAATTCTCACACAGGTAAATACAGGATCTGGGGGTGGGGAGGATGTACTGTGTTATTTCACCTTTTCATTTTTTTCTGAAAAAGTAAACTAACCCTTTCAAATAATACTTTGCCTGAGTGAAAATGGAGATACTCATATTTGCACAAAAATATCCTTCTCTTTTTCTGAAAACAAATTTACATACAAAATTCAACAGAAAAAAAAATGCATTAAAATGATGAATAAAAAATGACTGTGCGAAAAAGAAAGCTAACAAATATGAGAATATAACAAATGCAATGCAAAAGGGCACAATGACCTTTCATGCTGTAGGTCTGAGATCAGACTAGTGTCTTGGCATTGTTACATTGTATAATTTATTATAATTTGTTAAAACTGCAACCATATGCTACAGTTTGGAAAATAACTGTTTCAATCACCGCCTAATCGCAGAAAGACTTTGCGTCAAGTCCCTTGAACTGTTGGAAGCTGACTCATTCTAAGAGGTGGAGCCCGTAACCTCAACTGACAGCGGTATTTAGTATTCATGCACAAAGGCTTCAACTCCACTGACAGTAAAAGAAATGAGATGAAAGTTGTACAAAAAAAAAAAAATCTGCATTGGCTGATGTCCTGATCTACTCTCACAATCCTACTCACAGAATTTGAATCTAAGTGAATTTTAAGGCAAAAACTGAACAAAAAAAAAAAAAAAAAAAATAGCAAACAGGTAGGCTCTTTATTGCAGAACAGACATGCAGTGCTTCTTCTGCAAGATGCCAGGCAGGCAGGCAGGCAGGGACCTCACAGGCATCGTACTGCTGGAGAATTGATGAGTATTCCTGACTTTAGTTCTGCTTTAGCCCTGGTTCACACTGATGCAGTGCAGAATTTTCTGTGCGAATTCTGCACTGCATCAGAATCGCACCCCGTTCATGTGAACCGCTGCGGGTGTGTATGTTAAGTTAACAACACCCTGAAAGTGGCCTGCCAAACGTGGTTCGCTGTGCAGAATAAGATCGCATAGGTGTGAATACCCGATGCGATCCGATTCTAGTGCGGTCCTGGGTGTATGGCTGGGTGTATGGCTCCAATTGCATCGCACCCAATTCGCATGTGCTTTGCACAGGAATGCGGTGCGGTTCCTGTGCGAATCACACGTGATATACCGCAACTTATACATGTGAACCCAGGCTTAAATTGGAGCTCC